GCAGTAAACACATGCCTAAAAAGTACAGGAACATTTTCCTCATTTTCAATGTACTAGGCATATATTCTACAGATAAATAATCACTCCGGTAATGATGTGGCCAACATCAATGTAGCTTCCCAGGACTTTTACCTGGTACCCATTTAAGGCTGGATCGTTCTGGGCGCCAAAGTCATTCTTGAAAAAAAAAAAAACACACACACACATATCCGGCTCTCTCAAGATCTAAACACACGACCTTCCGATCTGCAGGCGAGCGTCTAGCCACTAGACAACGTTGCATGACATTGCATGTAATTTTAAAAAGACAGGCTCACAGCGCTGCAAGAAAAGTCATAGCGGATGTATCATGGGGATAGAGAACATATAGCGGGTGTATCATGGGGATAGAGAACATATAGCGGGTGTATCATGGGGATAGAGAACATATAGCGGGTGTATCATGGGGATAGAGAACATATAGCGGGTGTATCATGGGGATAGAGAACATATAGCGGGTGTATCATGGGGATAGAGAACATATAGCGGGTGTATCATGGGGATAGAGAACATATAGCGGGTGTATCATGGGGATAGAGAACATATAGCGGGTGTATCATGGGGATAGAGAACATATAGCGGGTGTATCATGGGGATAGAGAACATATAGCGGGTGTATCATGGGGATAGAGAACATATAGCGGGTGTATCATGGGGATAAAGAACATATAGCGGGTGTATCATGGGGATAGAGAACATATAGCGGGTGTATCATGGGGATAGAGAACATATAGCGGGTGTATCATGGGGATAGAGAACATATAGCGGGTGTATCATGGGGATAGAGAACATATAGCGGGTGTATCATGGGGATAGAGAACATATAGCGGGTGTATCATGGGGATAAAGAACATATAGCGGGTGTATCATGGGGATAAAGAACATATAGCGGGTGTATCATGGGGATAAAGAACATATAGCGGGTGTATCATGGGGATAGAGAACATATAGCGGGTGTATCATGGGGATAGAGAACATATAGCGGGTGTATCATGGGGATAGAGAACATATAGCGGGTGTATCATGGGGATAGAGAACATATAGCGGGTGTATTACTGACATTAAAAAAAACGTGTAGCGAAGTATTACTGACATAAAGAACATAAAGCGGGTTTATTACTGACATAAATAACATTTAGCGGGTGTATTACTGAAATAAAGCACTTATAGCGAATGTATTACTGACATAAAGAACATAAAGCGGGTTTTTTACGGACATAAAGAACATATACAATGTGTATTACTGACATAAAGAACTTATAGCGAATAAATCACTAAAATGAAGGATATATACAGCCGATGTATTACTGACGTAAAGAACATTTGAGGATGTATTAAATAAAAAACATGTAACGGATGTATTAATAAAAAATAAAAATAAAACATATAGCGGATGTTTAAAAAAAGTTAGTATCATATCCTTTAAAGGGCGTTGCTGAGCCAACTCCAACTCCTTTTTGTGTGTGTGTGCTTCTGTGGTTTTTCTGGGCAATATTTTATGTTCAGTAGTTTGCCATTGCATCTAAACGGTCGGCTCTGTGCACTACTGTCGAAACCAATATAAAAAAGATATCTCACAGATATCGAAAAGGTTCGAAGGCGGTACAGCTGTCGAAATCAACACAAAGTGATCTGATGCCTAACCGACAACAGCTGAATCGAAACCAATATGTCGAAATTATAAAAATTTGTTCACAACAACTGAAAAAAAACAGGCTCTGTTTGTCCGTCTCACCGGAATAAAAAAGATAAGAAACAAAGCCAGTAATCCACACTGGAATCCAAATGCAACTATTTGGTGTTAACTTCTGGCAACATGTGCCACAACTGTTGCTTCTTTGGCGCTTTATGGGATATCTGGGATTTGCCCTTTTTGTTAGCCCACTAGTAAGCGGCCAGCCAGTTAACCAACCAACCACCCAAATAACTAACTAACTAACTAACTAACTAACTAACTAACTAACTAACTAACTAACTAACTAACTAACTAACTAACTAACTAACTAACTAACTAACTAACTAACTAACTAACTAACTAACCAACTAGCTAACTAACTGACTAACTAACTAACTAACTAACTAACTAACTAACTAGCTAACTAACTAACTAACTAACTAACTAACTAACTAACTAACTAACTAACTAACTAACTAACCAACTAGCTAACTAACTGACTAACTAACTAACTAACTAACTAACTAACTAACTAACTAACTAACTAACTAACTAACTAACTAACTAACTAACTAACTAACTAACTAACTAACTAACTAACTAACTAACTAACTAACTAACTAACTAACTAACTAACTAACTAATTAACTAACTAACTAACTAACTAACTAACTAACTAACTAAATAAATTACTAACTAACTAACTAACTAACTAACTAACTAACTAACTAACTAACTAACTAACTAACTAACTAACTAACTAACTAACTAACTAACTAACTAACTAACTAACTAACTAACTAACTAACTAACTAACTAACTAACTAACTAACTAACTAACTAACTAACTAACTAACTAACTAACTAACTAACTAACTAACTAACTAACTAAACTAACTAGCTAGCTAGCTAAACTAACTAAACTCACTAAACTAACTAAACTAACTAACTAACTAACTAAGCTAACTAAATAAACTAAACTAACTAACTAACTAACTAACTAACTAACTAACTAACTAACTAACTAACTAACTAACTAACTAACTAACTAACTAACTAACTAACTAACTAACTAACTAACTAACTAACTAACTAACTAACTAACTAACTAACTAACTAAACTAACTAAACTAACTAAACTAACTAAACTAACTTAACTAACTAAACTAAACTAACTAACTAACTCAACTAACTAAGTCAACTAACTCAGTTAACTAACTCAACTAAACTAACTCAACTAAACTAACTCAACTAAAGTAACTCAACTAAAGTAACTCAACTAAACTAACTCAACTAAAGTAACTCAACTAAAGTAACTCAACTGAACTAACTCAACTAAACTAACTCAACTAAACTAACTCAACTAAACTAACTCAACTAAACTAACTCAACTAAACTAACTCAACTAAACTAACTAATCTAAACTAACTAAACTAACTAACTAACTAACTAAACTAACTAAAATAACTAACTAAACTAACCAACTAAACTAACTAACTAAACTAACTACCTAAACTAACAAACTAAACTAACAAACTAAACAAACTAATCTAACTAACTCAACTAACTAACTCAACTAACTCGCTAAACTAACTATTTAACTAACTAACTAACCTAAACTAACTAACCTGAACTAACTAACCTGAACTAACTAACTGACTAACTAACTTTAAAAAAAACTGGTTAGTTAGCTGAGTTAGTTCGTTGAGTTAGTTAGTTGAGTTGGTTAGTTGAGTTAGTTAGTTGAGTTAGTTAGTTGAGTTAGTTTAGTTAGTTAGTTAACTGCCAATTATTGGACTATTCAGCATCTGTATTCATGTTTACTGCTTCTACTCATCGGCGGAATCTACTGACATCTTAAGGAAAATATTTTGTGGTCAGATACACATTCTGTGTGGTTTTCGTTGGTACAGGAACGGAGCAACTATAGAGTGACCCGTTTCGCTATGAAGCTGAAACTTCGAGTGTCTATGTGAATTATGGTAACCAAATATAATAGTAATTAAGTGAAGGACCCTTTCCCACGTCTTTGAGGCTGGTATATAGGGCTAGACCTATATTTTATGGACCAACGGCATAAGAAGGGTGATGTGATATGCATCACACCGGCCGCCTTTACGTCACAGGACTGCACATAGTACCCACTCAAGGCTGGGTTAACCTCGGAGCCAAGTCATTTTTGAAAAAAGTTCGGCTCCGCCAGGGAGCAATCCCTCAACCTTCCGATCTGCAGGCGAGCGTCTAGCCGCTACGCCATGGCGACTCCCGGTAACCAACCATACAGGAGAATATTCTTTTTCAAGTATCGAGAACGCGATTCGTAGCAAAATGGGGCAGCGTCATTTGGACTGTGCATGGAAAATGACATCATGAAGACCACTCACATCAAGCCAGAAAGAAAAAAGCAACTGTGTGAAAATAAATACCGTAAATGCTAGTTATATGTAATATGTAGTTTTCATATTGTGCCACGTAATCTATGTATGTATTTTAACACCATTTTTTTAAAAGTGCCAGTACAATAACTATATGTTTAACAGTATCGACCATTTACGGTTAATTCCTGTGAGTAGTTGTCTTAGCGACCCCAGCACACTGGTTTGGCCGCGGGATCATAATGCTGTTAAGACGGTCCTGTACTAACTAACTAACCAACCAGTCAGATAGCTAAGAAATCAACTAACTAGCCAGCCAGAAACGACCCAGCAGATCAAACCATACAACCAACCAACTTACCAGCCTGCCAGCTAACAAATCGAACAACTAACCAACCAGCCAACTAATTAGCCAACCAACCAGTTAACTTGGCTAGCCGACCAAGTAACTAGCCATCCAGCCAGCTCACCTACCAGCAAACCAACTAAGTATCTAACTTATCAACCAACCAACTAACCATCCAAGCATTTCAACCAAGGCCAGCAATCCTCCTACGAGCCCAATCTCAAACATTTACAGGTATTACCTCCCTGACAGCGCCCCAGTTATTATCGATCTCCAGGTCCCCGCACGCGCGCTGCTCACGCGCACAGTGTGCCTCCCTCGTGCCAGCCTCGATCTGAGCCCACGGTTCCTCATGTCCGCCATCGCCATTGATCGGCATATTATGATCACAGGTTTACCTCCAGCAAAATGTCCGTTCCCGACGCTCAAATGTGGCCCTATCTGTGTGTATTTCGGAGATTTTTCTGTTCATGCACGCCACGTTTGAGTGGATAATTACAAAACGCCGACAAGAAGCAAAATCCGTCGGGCTAGAGCCGGTCGGCCGCAGGCGCTGCAGCAAAGAATGGCCGATAACGGAGACAGAAGTGAAAGCCCGACCAATACTTCGCCCGATGAAGACGACGCGCTGTATGGGCATGGCCATTTTTTTGTCAAGAAAACGTTTCATAAGCCGACTTATTGTCACCACTGCACGGATATTCTGTGGGGGCTCATCGGTGTTGGTTATGTTTGCGAGGGTGAGTACATTATGTGCACTTGTAACAGCTTCTAATTTAGTACTGTGTCCAATTTATTGACCGAATCCTTTTCCAGCGAGCTCATTAATTTATTCCAGCGCTCCCTTTTGTCAGTTGTAATAATACGGGACCTCTTTTGTAACAGATCATCTTTTGCAATGTTATCATATACATTTTAAAATCAGAATAGGGATTGAAATAAAGGTTTGAACTGCGGAGGTTGGGGTAGAAAAGGAAATGTACGGAAAGAGCTATTGTGCCGTGAGCCTAGGTGGCCGATCTGTGCTTTAAAACAAAAGGGAGAAGTGATACGAGGAGAGAGCTCAGTTCAGAGATTCTGTAGCAGGACTCAACGACTCTTAACTATCCCTCAACGCTCAAATTACATTAAATCAATTAAAATAATCATTTATAGTTCACAGATGGAGCTAGATGTGGGTTGTGGCTTCCTAGAGATTCTGTAAGACGTATGTTTTTCACGAGTCCGCATCAGTATCTCCAACACACAGCGCCGAGCAAGGAACCGAGGGTGTATATGTGGTGGATGCGTGATATAGGAAAAATAAAAATGACAGTGTTTATTGATTTCTGTGTTTGCTGGCTAGCCAGCTGTGGCCTAGGGTTGTAGAAGAGTTGTACATTCTTGTAGGTCAGCAGTATCAAAGTGATTTTTGGGAGCTAACAACATCTGTGAAAATTACGTTTGTCAGGAATCTTGGTGTTTCCTTAAACCACATACATTATTTAAGTGGCCATTGGTGTTTGTTGTGAAGGATCAGCTACGGGAGAGAAAATGTTTAGGGGCTAGTGGAAAATACTAACCAAATTTGTCTGTACCTTTTCAGAGTGCACCTTTTTAAGCATTCTTGGCTGTTGCTGCCTTACATACATTATTTTAGCTCAAGCAGTGCCAAGATATTCATTCAAGGTTCACCAGGTGCTCCTTCTATGATAAATACACTGTCAGCTGTCTTCAGTTTATCATTGCTTAACAGTTGTTTGTAACACTCTTATTGTAGCTGTTATTTCAGTGCCTTTAGTCCCAGAAGGTTATGACTTACTTTAACTCTTCACCTTTAAAACTTTGTGCCAGTTGTGTAGATGCCCCCCCCCCCCCATTCACCCCATGAAAGCTGTTATTATATATCTCCTGTAGCTGCAACAGACTCTTGACATGATTCCTTTGTATGCTGTAGACCAGAGACATTTGTTACTTTGTTTCCTGTAGCCCAGAGACACTTGTTACTTTGTCTCCTGTAGCGCAGAGACACACTTTGTTTCCTGTAGCCCAGAGACACTTGTTACTTTGTCTCCCGTAGCCCAGAGATACTTGTTATTCTTCTCCTGTAGCCCAGAGAAACTTGTTACTTTGTCTCCTGTAGCCCAGACACTTTTTGCTTTTGTCTCCTGTAGCCCAGAGACACTTGTTATTGTTACTTTGTCTCCTGTAGCCCAGAGACTCCTGTAGCCCATAGACACTTGTTATTGTTACTTTGTCTCCTGTAGCCCACAGACTCCTGTAACCCAGAGACACTTGTTATTATTACTTTGTCTCCTGTAGCCCAGAGACACTTGTTATTGTTACTTTGTCTCCTGTAGTCAACAGACACTTGTTATTGTTACTTTGTCTCCTGTAGTCAACAGACACTTGTTATTGTTACTTTGTCTCCTGTAGTCAACAGACACTTGTTATTGTTACTTTGTCTCCTGTAGTCAACAGACACTTGTTATTGTTACATTGTCTCCTGTAGTCAACAGACACTTGCTATGTTACCTTGTTCCCTATAGCGAAGAGACACTTGTTATTGTTATTTTGTCACCTGTAGTCAACAGAAACTTGTTATTTTATCTCCTGTCAAAAACAGACATGTTATTTTATTTTGTCACCAACAGACACTTGTTATTTTATCTCCTTGCAGACAGACACTTGTTATTTTATCTCCTGTGACCAACAGATGCTTGTTATTTTATTTTGTCACCAATAGAAACCTTTTTTTATCTCCTCACCAGCAGACACTCGTTATCGTTACTTTATCTCCTCTAGCCAAAGGACACTTGTTGTTGCCACTTTATCTCCTCTAGCCAACAGACACCTGGTATTGTTATGTTACTTTGTCTCCTGTCACAACATTCACTTATTATTGTAACTTTATCTTGTATATCCAAAAAACACTTGTTATTTGTACTTTATCTCCTGTCACCAGCAGACATTTGCTATTGTTACTGTATCTCCATTAGATCATATATATTTATTATTGTTACTTTATCTCCTTTAGCCACATATAGTTGTCAGTGTTACTTTATCTCACATAGCCCACATTCATTTGTTATTGTTACATTTTTATTTTTACATTATTTCCTGTAGCCCACTTACAGTTGTTGTTCTTACTTTATTGCATGTAGCCCATATACTGTTATCATATTTTTTTTTTCCTGTAGCCGACAGACACTTCTTATTTTATCTGCTGTCATCAACAGACATTTGTTATTGTTACTTTAATTTAGCCAACATCTGTTTATTATTGTCAGTTTATCTCATGTAGCCCATAAATAGTTTTGAGTGTTACTTTATCTTCTATAGCACACAGACACTTGCTATTGTTACCTTATCTCATGTAGCCCACATATAGTTGTTATTCTTACTTTGTCTCCTATAGCCCAGAGACATTTGTTACTGTAATTGGATCTCACATAGCTAACATACATTTGTTGTTCTTACTTTATATCATGTAGCCCACATACAGTTGTTATTCTTACCTTATCTTGTGTAGCCCACATACAGTTGTTGTTCTTACTTTATCTCCCAAAGTCCACATACAGTTGTTGTTCTTACTATATCTCCTGTAGCTCACATACAGTTGTTATTCTTACTTTATCTCATGTAGCCCACAGACATTTGTTACTGTTACTTTATCTCCCCCTATCCCACATACACTTGTTAATGTTTTTTTCTCTCCTATAGCCAACATACAGTTGATATTCCTACTTTATCTCCCATAGCCCACATACAGTTGTCATTCTTACTTATCTCCTGTAGCCTACATACAGTTGTTATTCTTATTTTATATCATGTAGCCAATATACAGTTGATATTTTTACCTTATCGCATGTAGCCCACAGGCACTTGTTAGTCTTACTTTATCTTCCGTAATCCATATACAGTTGTTATTCTTACTTTATCTCATGTAGCCCACAGACACTTATTATTGTTACTTTATCTCCAGTAGCTCGCAGGCACTTGTTAGTTTATCTCCTGTCACCAACAGACATTCATTATTGTTACTTTTTTTCCTGTAGCTAGCATACAGTTGTTATTCTTACTTTATCTCCTATAACCCTTGTATAGTTGTTATTCTTACTTTATCTCATGTAGCCCACAGACATTTGTTATTGTTACTTTATCTACTGTAGCCCACAGGCAATTGTTAGTTTATCTCCTGTCACCAACAAACATTTAATATTGCTACTTTTTTTCTTGTAGCCGGCATACAGTTGTTATTTCTACTTTATCTCTTATAGCCCTTGTACATGTGTTATTCTTACTTTATCTTATGTAGTTCACATAAAGTTGTTATTCTTAATATATCTCATGTAGCCCACATAGTTTTTGGAACATGTAACAAACTCGGGCCTATCTACACACTTATGAGTGAGGCCAGGGCTCTCTGATTGGACCTTCATTCATGCGTCTTAACCTCTAAGACACTGAAGTTTAAGTAGCAGGGATGTCAGCTTGCTATTATGTTCTATTCCATCAATGCTCTATACTATAAGATGTGAGCGCATTTAACGACCCAATAACATGTACAACTGGCCCTTACCTCAACCCCGCTACCTCACACACTGAACCTAGGTCCCAGGAGAGTGTGCATTCTACGTCTCGTGGTTTCAGATTTCTTTAGCATTTTGCGGTGGCCCGCAAAACGCTCTGTTGCTGCAGACACGCAGTGAGTGCTATTCTCTTTGGGCCTACCAGCTAGAATAAACTCATTACCTGCTGAAAATCCTAGATGGCTGTCTGATACCCACCAACAAACACTAATTCTGCTTGTCACTGAGAAGACGTTATGGGCTGCAGCTGCTCACAGAAGAACAATTAACACGCAACATTAGTACACCGCGACACCTCTCTAACTTTGAGCTACGTTGACCAGCCTGAGCAAGCATCAATGAAAGGTCAACTTATGTGTAGATGGGCCCGAGTTTGTTACTAGTAGTCAGTTTTCATTCTTACTTACTTTATCTCCTATAGCCCACAGACACTTGCTATTTTTACTTTATCTCATGTAGCCCACAGACACTTATTATTTTATATACTGCCACCAACGTACATTTGTTATTGTTTCTTTATCTCCCTTTGGCAAAATATATCTATTATTGTTGTGGGTGATTGTGTCTGCATAGGAGAGTGTGAATACATGGGTGATTGTGTATGCATGGGTGAATATGTATGTATGGGTAATTGTGTATGCATGGGTGATTGTGCATGCATGTGTAATTGTGTATATATGAGTGATAATATCATCACATGCATGTCCATGTAGGGGTCTTAGGATATGTATTGGTGTGTATGTATGTATGTGTCTTTTATGAGCGACTGTATAGGAATAATTTCTTGTGAATGTAGGGTTGTATGAGTATGTGAGGGTGTCTGAGGCTATATGTGCGTTTGTGTAAGATGGGCCTGCATGCGCAATTTGTAACAGTTGTTAAATGTTACTTTAGCTTCTTCAGACCACAGACACTTTTTGTTGTCACTTTATCTCCTGTAGCCCACAGCTCCTTGTAATTCTTACTTTAGCTCCTTTAGCACACAGCAACTTGTTATTGTTACTTTATCCCTTGTAGCCCACAAACACTTGTAATTCTTACTTGTCTCCTGTAGCCCACTGACACTTGTTATTGTTACTTTAATTTTCTGTAGCCCACAGACGCTTGTTATTGTTACTTTATCCCTTGTAGCCCACAGACACTTGTAAGTCTTACTTTGGCTCATGTAG